AAGAAAATTGCACAAATATACGCAAACTGAAGCAGTGTCAGATAAAGTATCAAACTATGGTTGCGATCAATCCAAAGCCCAAGGAATACGGTCAGAGATCTAGCCAACCTAGCGGGCGTCGAGACGGGGTAGGGGGCACAGGCTATGAGAATTCTAACAACCCTCACTTGCAAAACGAGGCTAAGTCCAAACTATTCCTGTGAAAACGAGTTTTATTTGCATGAGAATAAGAAATCCTTTTCATATCAACGGATTCGCGCTTAGTCTTACATTGAACCAGACGCTTGGAGAAGCTCGGAAATGGTCTATTAACACCTCAACCTAATGTAAAGGAGATTGAAGCCGTGTAATACACTCGCAAATTTGCATTGTATAAAATAACAAATATAACAGGTTGTAATGAGTCCCGTATACTAATGTATGCGAAGACGGAGCCGACACGTAAGGACGCCATATTGCTGGTTCGCACGTGACGTCACGGCGGCCATGTGGGTGGTCAAGAATAAAAGCATTTCTTTCCTCTGGGAACTAAACTCCAGTTTCATGTAAATCCTTCGTCAAGAAAACATTCTGTTGTATTGACGCCCAAAATGGCTGCCTTACCACGTGGTTGCAAAACCAAGAATAGTACATTCTTTACACTATCCTCATACTATTGTATATTACAATCTCTGACACTTTTCTCGGTAAATTCTGACTTGTGATAACCATTAACGTACCCTTACCCAAGCACATCCTAATACTTTTTGTACACGAGAATGGCCAGGATGTCACAAGGAGTGTTAACAACGAACCGAAAATTACTGTAGCAAGAGAAAACAGCCGACATTTCGCGGCGCCACCACTGGTTTCCCCCGCGAAATGACGTCTGAGAAACAAGCGCAGAAGGCGTTCCTACCAGACCTGGGTGGTGCTTCTGATTGGTCGTGCCGCGCGGGAATTTTGCTTTAACAATCAGAAGCACTTCCCAGATCTGGGTAGTGAGGCGCCGTCAGTAAGGGATTCCTACGTTCCATTTTCAGACGTCACATCCTGGGAAAACTAGAACAGACGTCGCGAAGTGTAGCTGTTTTCTCAGGCTAAAGTTACTGGTACCTCATAACTGTTTAGGTCCTTTACTTTATTCACTTACCACAGCAGTCGCACTAGGATCACTCACGTACTGCAGAGAGGCAGGAGGGGAGACCTGGGGATAGCCTGCCGGCGGCGGAACATACATTTGAGGGACCTGGGACCATAAATAACGAAAGAAAATGAAAAAAAAAATCGAGACTAGAGCGAGGGAGCAGTGAGGTTATTTACTAATCAAACAAATCAATGTATGCAATCCCACAACACCAAACTTAATTATGGTTGAACCCAAGAGGCTCAAATCAAATACCACTAAATTTTAATCTGCATGGGAGTGATAGAGTTTTAGTCACTAAAATTCTATCACTCCCATGCAGATTGAAATTTTAATGTGAATTTCTTACTTTCAGGTTCTGGAAAATTTTCTGCACGGTATACTTAATGTTCGGCAGTTCATTCTGGTCTTAGTGAAATTTTCTGAAATTTTTACAATGGAACCTCTTTTTAGGAATGGGAAAAGAAAATGCTTACAATCGTGTTTAACGCGTTTGCTGGCTAAAATCGCATAATGACTCATACCCTCTTTGTGGTCAGTCAGGATTTGAGTGCTAAGGTGTCCCCTGAATGGAGGTTACACCTAGGTTTTGGGACCCAGAAAAAGTGTCCCTTTCCTTTGAATACCTTATTATAGGAAATTAACGCTCCATGAAATTAAGGTATTGGAAATTAACGCGACTTAAATTAACGCGAATTTTATAGAAAACGACTTTCGTATAAAGAAAATTAACGCGAAAGAGGAGGTAGAATTTCATAAAAAGGAAATTAACGCGATTATCTTGACCGAAATCAAAGGAGAAGATATTGACATCACTTCTGACAGTGACACCGATGAAGATGGACTCGAAATATTGTAAACCTTCGCCTTGGCTTTTGTGAAAGATGAAAAATAAAGGGTCAATGGAAAGAAAGAAAGCTTGTAGTTAATGTTTTTTAGGTGTCAAGAATGTCTGGACAGGTTTCAAAATTGGGGTTAAAATACTGGAAATTAACGCTGCACTTAATTAACGTCGCGGAAATTAACGCTCAACAAAATTAACGCGACTTAAATTAACGCGAATTTCAACGATTCGCGGTAATTTCATGGAGCGTTAATTTCCTATAATAAGGTAGAGCTGTCCCTTCAATAAGTGACAGATACAAAAATTATGGGAATATTTTTTCCGGGACCTAATTTTGTGTCCCCTGAATGGAGGCGTCCCTTGCATAGAGGTGTCCCAAAAGAGAGGTTCCATTGTATAGGAATACTTTGAAATTGTCTGTTAAAGAGTCACATCACAGACATTTTCTAGACTGCGCTATCTCTGTTGCACAGAGCGGAAAGATTACACTCGGTTAACTATAAATAACTAGAAGTTTGGCTTTAAACGGTAAGCTATAGGGCTAGCAAACCACCAAAGGTGAATGAAAAAGAAACAAGAATAAATTAACGAACGCTTTTAGGATTCTTACTTGAGGATATTGCTGCATTGTTGAAGCTGGTATCTGGTACATTCCCATAGAGCCCTGGGGATTAGCTGCGTAAGGAAGCGTTGGAACTGGTAGCGGTTCTTTCATTAACCTGCAAAGAACACAAAAACCAACCATGTTAGGCAAAAACGTCTCCTATCCGCCGGAAGATAGTTCTTAAGAGATGGTAAACGCCTTAGTTCATAGACTTGCCACAAGTCGACTGCGTGAGTGCCGAAGGCGCGAGAGACGCTCGCGAAGCGGGCGAAAGCTAGCAATAGTGAGCTAAAGCAACGACGACGGCGACGTCAAAGAGAACGGCAAAAAAGCAATTGGTTTAGATTGGTAAAACAACAACTTTGCACGTGTATCACGCTTTTTTGTATATTTCTTTGCCGTCACTGCACTAGGACGTGAAAATGCTTAATTTCACGTTTTGTGGAGAACGTGAACACAAGACAACGACTTTCTTTTTCTTTTCCTAAACTTCGATTCAGTCTTTTCGAATTCAACTCCAAGAAAAAGTGCCAACATTTGACGAATTGAACGAGATGGAATAAGCGCGATAAAGTTTCAAGCAGCGCGACTTCAATTTTTAAGTGACGTTTTCGTAGCCGTCGCCTTCGTTGATGCTTAAGCTTCCTAATGAAGTCGCGAGACGAGCGACTTTTCGCATTACTTAGATGTGATTGGCCTTCGAAGTCTCACACCACTGTCACAACTAATCAGAAGTAGAATCTACTGGCCAATCATGGCTCAATTGCACACCACACACCTGGCGTCCGATACATGTATTTGCCTGTATATTTTCTGATTGGTTCATTGCATT